TGCAAGCTTTCAAGACGGGCCACGTTTCTCGCCACTGCCAGCGCAGTTCCAACTCTTCCCGGAAGAGGGCGCCAGTGACCAGAGGAAAGACCAGCACCGCGTCCGCGAGTGCTGGTGCTTGTGGGCGCTCAACTGCTCTGCAGCTCTCCGGTCCAGCCAGTTCTTCCCTACCGCTAGGAGATCCCTGGGTCGTAAGCAGAAGAAAGGAACAGCAGCCCCCTAGCATCCGTAGACATGACTCTTCTCCGCCTCTTGTAGCAGTGCCTAGTTTGGACCCTCCACCCTCCACCATCCCCTCTGTGTATTCTGGGGCGAATCTAGGTTTTGTGGGGCCTCTAAGAAAAAAAACCTTTGCAAATTTTACAAAAACATGTCCATACAAACACATTGCTAGGGCCCTTTCCAGGGGAGGAGGCTTGAAACTTAAGTTTCAGTAACTGCAGGGTAGGTCGACCGCTTGATTATACATATGCATAGTTACTTATTTACTGCCTGCCTTCTTCCATTAGAATGTAAGCTCCAAGAGGGCAAGGATTTTTATACGAATTGTTAGCTCCAGCAGCCCTGGTTCCTTCCTGCACATCGTAGGAGCTTTGTAACTATGTGTTGAGTGAACCAGCTGTACAGCTTTCCAGGTAGAGATGACGATGGCCTGGCCTGGGGCTTGAGAAGTGGATGGATTCAGATGGTATCACTGAATCCTCAACCCATTTCAAAGCTGGAGACGCCAAGCGTCAGGGTGGTGAAGCAAGCAGCCCATTTAGAACCTGGGCCTTCCTCCCTCTCCCACCCTTGGCCTGTAGTTGCTTCCTCCCCACCCCCCTCCTTGCACAAGACCCTGACGCAACCCCGCACCGGCCTGGGGCGCCCCTCTCCCGGGCAGCGCCAGGAAGGAGGTTTTGCAGGAGGAGATTTTGCAAGAGTCGGGGGCAGGAAGCGCCAGCTGGGCGGTTCCTGGAAAGATAAGGGCGCCCCCGCCCACGACGCTCCTCCTAGCCTTCTGGTTTCCTCTTCCCTTCCCTTTCCCGGACACCGGTGCCCGGACCCCGGTCCCAGCCTCGCCCAGCCCGAGCGTGACTCACCTCCTTTCACTCCTGGCAGCCAGGCTGGGATCTGAGGCTCCTGTCCCTGGGGCCTGGCGCTGGGAAGCCCTGCTGTGTGTGACCTCGGGTAGTGGGGTTAGGGAGCTTCGGGCGGGCAGTTCTTGAGGCTCAATAAGAGTGACTGGCGTGAAAAAGGCACCTAGAGCTCCCAGAAGGCAAAGTGGGGGCTATCCCAGCAGCACCCCCTATCAAGCCAACTTTGAGGTTCAAGGTGACAAATTGGCTGGTGTAAGGGAGGGTGTGTGTGTGTGTGTGAAGCATCCTTGTACCCTTGGGGTGGGGTGCTCTAGAAATCTGCTCCTGGTGACTCCTGAGACCCTGGAGCAGAATCAGATCTTTCTACAGAGTTTGGTCCCCACCTAGTTCAAGACCTGTGTGAAGCTCTGTGATGGTCCTCTCAGAACCAGGTCACACAGGGCCTCGCCAAGGACCTGTTAGAAGTGTAGAGAGCCTGGGCTATTTCCATCTTTTGAGATTCTAACCACACCAAACCCATTGCCATCAAGTCGATTCCAGTTCATAGCAACCCTATAGGACAGAGAAGAACTGCCTCATAGAGTTTCCAAGGCTATAATCTTTACAGAAGCAGACTGCCACATCCTTCTTCTGTGGAGCGACCAGTGTGTTCAAACCACTGACCCCTCAGTTAGCAGTCGAGCACTTAACCATTGCGCCACGAGGGCTCTTTTTTGAGATTCCAGTTAGATATAAACATTAAGAAATGCCAAAACGTGGGTTGCAAAAATTGTGGTATGTATTGTTTTGCATTTATACAGTTTATGCATATATGTCTACGTACATATGCACATATATATATTCGTGTGTATGTATAGAGATAGATGGCTGCTGTCGAACTGACTCAGACTCATGGTGTCCTTCTGTACAACAGAAGGAAACGCTGCCTGGTCCTACATTGTCCTCACAATTGCCAGCATGTTCTAGTCCCTCATTGTGGCTATTGTGCCAACCCATCTCACTGAGGGTTTCCACCGCCCTCGATGGTCCTCTACTTCGCCAAACATGATGTTCTCCTCCAGTAACTGATCCCTCCAGATGACTTGTCCAGAGCAAGTGAGTTGGACAATGTCCTCTTGTGATCTATAAGGTTTTCAATGGATAATTTTCAGAAGCAGGTCACCAGGCCTTTCTTCCTAACCTTAGTCTGGAAGTTCCAATGAATCCTGTCCATCATGGGTGACCCCACTGGTAGATATCTCAGGTATGTTTTCAATTGGAGATAAGGTGGAAGACTACACTGAACACTCTGTGGGAACATGAGACCCCTTATACGCCTGATTTTTGACAAGCTCTCTGAGTCTATGTCCCAGTGTGGCCTTGGATGGGTCACCTCACCTCTCTGATGCCTCCCTTTTCTCATCTGATAAATGGGAATAGCAGTGGGGCCCACCTTCCTCAAAGGGCTGTTGAGACAATCACCTTAGCAAGGGCTCAAAATGTTTTACACCAACGTTTACTAAATGTTTACTAGGAGCCAGTCATGGTGCTAAGTTTTTTATGTACATTGATTCAACTGATCCTTGAGAGGAGGCTGACTTTATTCTGAAGCCCGTTTTCCAGCTGAGAAAACTAAGGCTGAGAGAGGTGAAGTGACCAAGGTCAAGACTGATTCAGAGATTGGGTTCTACCTGCCTCCCTATTAAAATGTTACCTTATTATGATTATTAAGAAATGACATATAATAGCACTGCCCCCATAGGGTTGTGAGGAGGATTAAATGAATCGATATTTTAAAGAGCTTAGTACAGTGTCTGGCACATAAAAGCGCTGTATAAATAAATGTTTGTTAAATAAAATAAAAAATACTCAGGCCTCTGGCGCACAGCCCTGGAGAGGCAGAGTCCAGTGCTCAGGAAACCTGGTTCCGGTGTTTCGCTGGGTCTTGTGCCCCAGGCCTCGCAGTACCCTGATGATTTCCCAAGCAGCGGTTGAAAGGAGCAGGGTTTTGTCACTCTCACACACACACACAACTCTCACACACACACACACACACCCCTCCCTCTTTCCTCCCTCCCTCTTTCCTCCCTCCCTCACACACCCCTCCCTCTTTCCTCCCTCCCTCTTTCCTCCCTCCCTCGGCCCGTCCCGGAGCCTCTTGTGCAAGCCGCGGGCGCCCGCCGGTTCCCAGGCCGGGCTGCAGCTGCGGGCGGAGGGGCAGGGCGGGGGCGGCGCGCTGTTTGTCTAGCGCGGCGGTGCCAAAGGCGGCGGGCCCCAGACAGCGCGGCGCCTCCGTACACCTGGGGATGCTCAGGTTAAATAGCTCCGCATTCCTCGGGCCCAGCTGATGGAAAAGCTCCCAGGCCGCTGCTGAGCCGGCCTCCAGATGGGCTGGGTCCGGGCCAAAGGGGAAAAGAGGGAAACGTGGAATTCAGAGTGCAACTGAATGGCGGGGGAGGTGGCCCAGGCCCCTGCCGGGCCCCTTCCTCCCCTGGAAAAAGGCCCTGCAGTGTAGGAGTACACGCGGGGGGCACGCCCACGTCCCCGTGGGTGGGCTTGCAGACGGGACCCACACGTGGGGAGGGGGTTTGCACACGTGTGCCTCCGAGGACACTCCAAGGACACTCAGGCCACAATTAATAGCAATAATAATTTGTAACAAACGTTTCGTGTCAGGCACTGCGCTAAGCGCTTCATTTCATTTATTCTGTGAAACGATCTTGTGAGGTTAATTCTATAAAACGATGGGAGGAGGAGGGAAGGAGGTAGTACAGGATGTCATTTATCTACAAATACGCGTTCTTTGATAAAGTCCATAAATTGCTTGGGAGGGTGGCGGTATCTGGCTTAATGTTAGAATTCAATAAATGATATATATTTTTTTTAAATCACGGCCTCTTTGAGCCTGTTTCATCTATTGTTAAAAAAACAAATAAAAAACGGGCATCAGAATCCTGCCTTTAACCCCACAGGGATCCTTTGTGTAAAGGGTTGAGCACAGAGTTAGGCTCATGGTGCTAGTTGCTATATTTTATTTATTGACTAAGTGTAATAATCCTTGCCCTCTCTGGAATAAGTTCTTGGCTCTTTCCAGAACTTGGATTCCCCATGTGTAATACATGGAAATCGACATGGCAGGGATACTTGGTGTCCCCAGGGCCTAACATTTGCCCAGATTTGGTATTTCCAACTTTTGAGGAAGGGTTTGCCTGAACACAGATGCCTCTGCCTCCCACCTCACCTCACCTGACCCTTACCAGCACAGGCCCAGGAATGCCCATCTACAGGACAGTTACACACACAGAAACCCTCATGTGTGGTTCTGTGGCCCCCAGGCACAAATCCATCTATGGAGCTAGGCCATTAGGAGATGCCCACAATGCACTTACGCAGTAAACACAAGCCCAAATAGCTAGAGGTTGCCCCCTTACTGCAGAACAAGTACTCACATTCGCCCTTCTGCATACTCCTGGATGAGTATCCTCATCCTCACTCCCAGGGCTGTACACCAACGGATGACCGAGCCCCAGAGGGGTAACAACCAGTTCACTCCTGTCACACACACAGGCCCAGACACTCATATGCACACCCCCACGAGTATGCACGCACACACAAGCCCAGGCAGATAGGCCCTTGCCAATGACACCTTTTCCCTGCTGAGGAGCTGGGGATGTGACCGCCCACCCCTCACCCCTCTTCAGGGCCTACACAGGAGCCCTGGGGAAAGAAAGGAGAGTCGTTTCGGCAGCTGGCAGTGAGGCCAGGGTGAGGGGGCTGCGCCGGACCCAGAGCAGGTGGCTCAGCAGCTGTGCCCAGTCTGGCCTCGCCAACTTGCTCACCCACTTAGACAAGCTGGGAACCCCAGGGCATCCTGGGGTAAGGCACCTCCTACTAGGGAATGTGACCCTGGGCAAGTCCCTTTTCTCTTGGGTCTCTCTTCCTACATCTTGGCAAGGTAGCAGGTGGTTCAGTGACCTGGTTCTCCAACTTAAATGGCTTGTTGAATACTCCCAACACCAAAGGGAGCCTTGGCAGGCTACTCTGCATTTTAACAACCTCCCCAGGTGACCCAGATGGCCCAAGGACCACTTTGAGAAACTCTAGAGGTCTAGGGGATTTAATTTTATGACACTGGGGAGCAGGGAAATGGCCAGTTACACAGGAAAGAATAGACTTTTGAAAGACAGCGGAAACGCTCATCCAGATCGCTAAAGAACAGTCCAGATGTGGCCCTCCCCACCTTCCTCCCAGGCACCAGCTGCCAAGAGGGCCCTCCCCACCCAATCCAAGAAGACAGTCCAACTTTACCATCATCTATTTGTTTAATAACAAAAAAACCACACACACCCCCGCAGAACTATTGTAAAACAATATTCTCAGTCGGTGATCATTGTAATATACAATACAAGCAATAAATTTTCTCAGAAATCTGAGAAGCACCAAACGTGACCATTTTTTAAAATGTCTGCTTTTCAAAAAATAGAAACACACGGGGCGGGAAATTTCATCTCCCCAACAAGCTCCGAGTCTCTGGCGGCTGACAGGCGTGGAGGGAGAGCTGGCCTTCCCTCTTCGGTCCCCCAAGCCCTGGGCCCGACCCGGCAGGCGCTGGAGACCCGCCGATCTCAACCTTGTCCTCTCTTCCAGCTCTGGTGAGCCGCTTGTGGGGGGGACCAGAGAGCACTTTCCCTCTCGCTCTCTCAAGGGCTGGGGTCCGCCGCTCCGAGGCGGCGCTTCAGCGACACAAGATGCGATCGTCCGCTGGGACACAGGCAGCCTGTGAAAACGAGAGGGAAGAGGTGAGAAGGGCGGGTTAGAGGGGACAAGAGACTGCAACCGCGGCAGGTCTCCCCCACCCAGTTCCCATGGGAAACACGCTTTCTCTGACCTCCTCGAGCACCCTGCAGTCGGGTTCCCGATAGGATGGGTGGTCACAGGGCAAGTCCCCGATCCCTCTGCAGGCCCAGCTTCCCCATCTATAGGACGGGGATGGCCTAGTGCTCCATCTCAGGCCTCACCTCGGCCGCCAGGGCGCTGATCTCGCCGTTGAGGGTGCTAAGCGGAGCCCGGGCGGGCAGGCCCCGGCTTCCGGGGGCCCCAACGGCGGACTGAGAGTCCAGCTCCAATTGCAGGTCCCAGATGTAGTCGATGACGTGCTGGAGGATCTCCACCTTGCTCACCTTGCGGTTTTGGGGCAGGGTGGGCACGAGTTCCTTCAGACGCGAGTAGCAGCCATTCATGTCGTAAAGCAACACGTTCACCTGCTGCTCGTCTAGCAGGGCGGGCAGGCGCCCCCCGGCGCCGCCCGCACAGCGCGAGATGGCCACGCTCTGCTCTGACAGGCAGCGCACCACCTCGCCCGCGCCGCCCGCTGTCTTGCCTGCCTTCAGCGCGCAGCTGGGGCCCGCGGCGGGCGCGGCGCTGCCACTGGCGACTTTCATGATCCTGGCGATGGGGTAAGTGAGAAGACGAAAAGGAGCGGACGAAAAAAACGAGCTGCCGTGTGTTAGGTGCAAGCGTGCGATACTGAGTCTGAGCGCACGAGAAGATACTATAAAATGCTAGACGCCAGCCCAGCCGTCTGGTTTTTATAAAGCCACCGCGGCCTCGGGAGGGGCGAGTTCCTCACGTTCAAAAGTAGCCAATGGGAGTCTGGGGGCGTGGCCTCCTCGGAGGCTCCTGGGTCCCACCTCCTGCCCAATTAGCACACCCTGTGGTGCTTGTTAAAGGGACTCGGGTCCTAAGACTCGAGCGAGTGGAAGGGCGAGGGCGGGGGCGGTTAATGGAGGCGAAGGCTGCCTTGAACTCTGGGAAGGAGGCAACAGAGGTTAAATCTGTATTTCGGATAACCATAAAGACCTCAGGAACAATTTTTCCCATGTTCGTTTTCTCACCTCTTCAACTCCATTTTGTAGATGAGGGAAACTGAGGCTCGGACGGAGAAACGGCTGGCTTTAGATCGCCCAGCGAGCCAGCGAGTAGAGCCCTGGCTTCCGAACCCTCTTGGAAGATTACCTCTCGGACCCTGATCTTCCGAAGATCCGGGCCGAAGTTTAAAAGGGATCCCCCTTGCACTCTGCTCCCCGGGGCTGATCTCCTTTCCAATTCCCAGAGACTGCTGTTGGCTAAAGTTCCCTGGGCCAGGAGGGCCTACCCAGGTCTTTCGAGGTGGGAGCGATTAATTTGGGAAAGTCTTCCTCTTGGGTTGGGACTGGGCCTCCAGGACCCGAACTAGATTGAAGATAGCGCTCAGTGGAGTGAGCCTATACCTCTGGGATTCTACTTTGAATTTGCAGCCCCCTGCAAAACATTCTCTAAGCCTGCAGCAACTAGTGATTTTAAATTTTTTTCTGCCTTTTTTGCCTGGGTTTTTTCGCCAAAGACCTCAGAGCAGGGTCTCCCTCCCACCGCGCAGCAGCTGCGGAGCTCGAGCCCCCACCCCCGGCTTTCCCCGTCCGGACTGTGACAGCGTCTAAACAAGCGGCTCAGACCGTTAGACGCCAGGCCCGTGACGTCATCCATTCATAAAACCGGGACGGGCTGTCAGGCTGGCGCCGCGCGGGCGGTCGTCATGGAAACGGCAAACTGGCTCGCAAGTTCCCCCCATCGCGCTCTAATCACCTGCGGACCCCGGCCTGGGGCCTGGGAATGCGCTCCTCGCGAGCGTGGCCGCTGGGCAGGGGTCACCTCATCTCCCCACCCCACACCTGTGAGTCTCCCCACCCTGCCCCACAGCTTGGGCCGCTTGGCAAGTTTCTGCATAGCCCCTTCACGACTCCCCTTGGACCTGGTCTAAGAGGCCCAAAGAACATTCCTGCTCTGCTGCTGGGTGAATTTAGGTGTAGTCGAGGACCTTCTCTGAGCCCAAAGATCTTCTGCCTGGTTTTTAGATAATAATACTCATAAATGTGACTGTTTCTTGAGTGTGAAAAGCTTGCCTTTATCATCTCCTGTAATTCTCTCCACAACTCAAGCTTTTTGGTCACTTTATACAAAGGAGAAAACTGAGGCTCAAAAATCTGCCGAGAGCTGCAGCTGTTGCAATGGCTGCATTATTATAACCAAATCAAACCAGTTGCCAGTGGTGTCCCTTCAGACTCACGGCGACCCCATGTGTGCTAGAGTAGAACTGTGCTCCATAGGGTTTTCAGTGGCTGATTTGTCAGAAGTATGTTACCAGGCCTTTCTTCTGAGGCGCCTCTGGGTGGACTCACCCTCTACCCTCTGGTTAGGGGAACGTTTGCACCACCCAGGGACTCCATTATTCTAACAAGGCACATTACTTTAATGTGGCCCCTGAAGTGGCTGATGGAGGGCAGGCAGTCTGTCTCCAGCCCTAGACATGCCACAGGTGGGTAACAGACTCAGAGTAGTCAGCCAAGGCCACACACAGCGTTAGTAGGGGTAAAATACTGTGCTCACAAATGAGAGGGTGACATTATGGTCCCCTTCTTCCCCACAACCTCTAGCAATTAATTCACTGGGTATCAGCAGGTTCCATTTTCTCACAAAAGTTTGGGAGAGGAGATAAGAAACCAGCCATTACCTCTACCTCAAACCGGTGAAACCAGTTGCTGTCTAGTGGATTCCAACTCATGGCAACGCGTGCATGCCAGGTCTTCAATGGCTGATTTTTCAGAAGTCGATTGCCAGGCCTTTCTTCTGAGGCACCTCTGGGTAGATTTGAACGTCCAACCTTTAGCACCCAAGTATGTTAACCATCTGCATTTCCCAGGGAGTCCACCTTAGGAAACTTGGAAAACTGATCAGTGAAACCAGCTTCAAAGAAGAGAGACATCATTAATAAATTAGCTGCACTCCCCACTCCCTTACCACACACCCCAAAACTCTCCAAACGCCTCAGGCCTTGTTTAGCAGTCCTTTAATGGTGGGAGAGAACATTCTGTTGTGCAGAAGAATTGCTAAAGAATTGGAAGGACACTGGTCAGCCAGAGGAAATTAGAATATTAATTCATTACCAAGTGTTTATCAATTGACCCAACAATTCTACTTCCTCTAATAGATTCCAGAGAAACCATTACAGGCAGGCACAAAGATGTCTGCTCAAGGATGTTCATTGTGGTGCTGTTTGCAAGTGGGGAAATTAAAAACCTAAATATCTGTCACATTTATAAACTATGAATGGAATACTAATGTTGTGGATGGCTATGCAGCAGATGGGAAGTATGGCTCTGAGAGATACCTAAATCCTACTGTTTGTGAAAAAGCAAGTGACAGACTGGGGGGCACAGTAAGACCTCTTGTATGCAAAAAAGCAAACATACTGCTCCTGAGTACATGTGTGTCTGGAAATGAATGTTTAAATGACGAGAGAGAATTATGCTGCAGAAAAGAATGCAAACACAATACTGTGTGTTTCCTCTTATATGAAGTTCTCGAAGAGGAAAAACTAATTTATGGTGAAAGAAATCAGAATGGTGGTTGTCTCTGGGAGTGGAAGATGGGAGCTGCCAAGGAGGGGGAGTGAGGGAACTTTCTGGAGTGATGGAGATGTTCCATATCATGATGAGGTGTGGTTTACATAAGTGTATGACTTAGTTAGAACTCATTGAATTATATATTTTCATGCATTTCATTGTATGTAACTTGCACCTCAATAAAAAATATTAGAAGGCAAAGAAAAAGAAAAAAAAAAGATGGGAGGGTAAACATCAGATTACTAATGGAGGTGACCGCTGGGAAGAGGAGTGGAGAAAAAGGGAGAGTAATATGGTGTAGGAATTTCACTTTTATCTTCACATAGGTATTTCATTCTTGCTTTTTAAAAATAGCTTTACCCGTTAGCCATCAAGTCAATTCTGACTCACAGCTTGAGGTATAATTGACATTCAATAAACCACACATATTTAAAATGTAGTTTTATAAATTTTCACACATGAATACATACATGAAGCCATCACCACAATCAAGAAAATGAAAAATAAAATTAAAAAAAGAATATGAACATATACTCCATCACTCCCAAAAGTTTCCTTTGCCCCCTTTGCAATTCTTTCCCCTCCAGACAGCCACTGATCTGCTTTCTTTATAGATTAGTTTGCATTTTCTAGAATTTTATATAAATGGCATCACACAATATGTACTCTTTTTTTTTTTTTGTAGCCTTTTGAGCCTGGTTTCTTTCACTTGGCATAATTATTTTGAGATTCATCTATGTTGTCAGGTGTATCAATAGTTCATTCCTTTTTATTGCTGAGTAGTATTCCAGTGTATGAGTTTATCACACTGTTATCCATTCATCTGTTGATAGACATTTGGATTTATAGTTTTTGATTAGCATGAACAAGGCTGCTATGAACACTTATGTGCAAATGTTTATTTGAACCTATGCTTTAATTTGAATAAGTACCTAGTAGTGGAATGACTGGGTCATGTACAGGTAGCATGTGTTTGCTTAACTTTGGAATCCCTGGGTGGTGCAAATGGTTAACACACTGAGCTACTAACCAAAAAGTTAGAGAGGTTCAAGTCTACCCAGAGGCACCTCAGAAGAAAAGCCTGGTGATCTACTTCTGAAAAATCAACCATTGAAAACTTTGTGGAGCACCAGAAGAACTAGATAGTGCCCAGCTACCACTACCAACTGTTCTGATCAGGGCCATAATAGGTGGACCCTGACAGAATGGGAGAAAAATGTGGACTGGAACTCAAATTCTTAAAAAGTCCAGACTTTACTGGACCAGTTGAGACTAGAGGACTCCCTGAGACTATCGCCCTGAGCTACTCTTTAAACCTTGAACCGAAACTGTCCCCTGAGGTCACCTTTTAGCGAAATAACAGATTGGCACACAAATAAAGAATATTATTCATGAGTATGGTGCGTCATTAAAAAAAATCTATATGAGATGGAAAGGTCAACAGTTACTCTAAAGCAAAGATGAGAAGATAAGGGGACAGGGCAACTAGAGCACCGGAAATGGAACCACCAGAAGAAATTAAAGAGAACATTGACACATTGTGAAAAATGTAACTAATGTCACTGAACAAATTGCATAAAAATTGTCAAATGAGAACCTAATTTTCTGTGTAAATTTTCACTGAAAATGTGATCAAATATTATTTTAAAAAACCTACAGAGCACAGTTCTACTCTGACACACATACGGTCATCACAAGTCAGAATCGACTTGATGGCCACTGGTTCTTCAGTTCTATACAACTTTATCATATGTGTAGACCTGTGTGACCACCACCATAGTAGTCCAGATACAGAACAGTTCCATCACAAGGATACTTTTATCTTTTGCCCAATTTTAAAACTGGATTGTTTGTTTCTTATTATTGAGTTTTGAGAGTTTCTTATATATTCTGAATACAAGTTCTTTATCAGATATTATGATTTTAAAAATATTTTCTCCCAGTCTGTATATAGTCTTTTCATTCTCTTAACAGTGTCTTTCAAAAAGCAGATGCTTTTAATTTTGATGAAGTTCAATTTATCAGATTTTTATTGATTTATCTATTATCTATTTTTTGTTGACATATCTATGTTTTTTAGATGGATTATAGTGTTAGGTTGTACATTTAAGTCTGTGATCATTTACACATAGGTATTTCTTGAATATATTTTTAAACATAGGTTTACTTGTGTACTAAAAAGCCAGCTCTATGTGTGTTTATTATACTTCCCTCTGGACTTGACTGCTTGTCAGGATGAGATGGAAAGCCAAG